CTGCGGCCGGTACACCCATGCATCCGTGAGTGTGTGCATGCATTCATAAATAAATGGCTTACATGTGGCTTCATGAATAAGTGAACCGTGTAAACAGGTGATAGATAGATAGATGATAGATAGATAGATAAGTAAATAGATAGATTGATGGATAGATAGATGATAGAGATAGATGATATATAGATAGATACATAGATAGATGATAGATAGATAATAGATAAATAGATGATAGATACATAAGTGATAGATAGGTAAGTAGATAGGGAACCAGCAGATGGTGTAGCAGTCACGTGACTGGACTCACCCTTGGCCATCCAAGGTTCGAGTCCCAAACCCAGTGGCTTGAAACTCACGCCAGGCGCATGTGCATGCGTGCCCAAAATCCTGAGAGGAGAATGGAGGAGAAGGGATTGCAGCATGGCCATCCCTCCTGGGGGTGATTTGTCACTTTCCCTCTCACTGTCTCTGTCTCTCTGGCAAGCACACATGCCCTAAAACAAAAACCTCTCCAAAAAGAAAAAAAGTGAAATGCATAGAACAGCCTGCGTAGACAGGAATGAGTAGGAAGAGGAAAACTGCAGAGATGAGGGACAAGGAGGTGAGACGGAGGCAGCTAAGCTAGACAGGTACGCACAGAAGGTGGTCAGACAGACAGTGCTTAGCGGACTCTGAGAAGGGGCGCCCTGTGCACTGCAGGGTCTGAAACACCATCTCTGGGCCCCACTCACCACACGCCAGGAGCTCCCACTCCCCTCCCCAGCTGCGACAACCCACACCGCGTACAGACATTGCCCAATGCCCTCTGGGGAGAGCTCTCTCACCCGCGTTGAGAAGTCTGCTCTGTGTAAAAGGCCACCAGGCAGAACCTATTCTGTGCACTTAGAGAAAAAGAACAGGACCGTTTCCCCTCGCAGAGCCGTCCCGCGGTGTCTTCTGTCTCTGCGGTCTCTGCACACAACAACCCCTGAAGTCCAACCAGCTCAGCCCAGGGCTGCATCCCCACGGTGGGGTCCCTCGCGGGGAGCTCCCTAGCCGCTGGCCTCCCTCCGCCTCGCCGCCTGACACCATTCTGTTTCCAAGCAGAGCAAAAGCCTTCGAGCAGCTCTGCACACACGCCTGTCCCTGGGCAGGGGCTGGGAGCAGAGGTCGGGTCACCTGGGGCTCCAGACGGGAGTCTTTTGCTGCTAGGGTCCACGCCTTTGCCGTGGGGGTGTCCTGAGCACCATGGGGGTGTTTTGCACCATGCCTGGACCCCATGTATCACATGCCAGAAAGAGTCCTCCCTTCCCCCCCAAAAAAGATCTACGGAGTTGGGTAAGTCTCCTCAAAGACCCAAAATCTTGGTTTTTACTTACTGCTGATGTGTTTTTGTGTTTATTTCATTTTTTAAGGTCTTTATCAGAGGGTGTATGCATTAGCAGAAGAGAGACAGAGACAGAGAGAGAGGAAGAGAGGGAAAGTGAGAAATCACCCCCCAGAGGGGATGGCCACGCCATAATCCCTTCTCCTCCATTCTCCCCGTGGGATTTTGGGCGTGGGACTCGAAGCGTGGTCTGCTATATGGGAATCCAGCGCCTTCACCACCATGCCGGCTGCTGGCCCTCCTAGGGACGTGGTTAGTCTATATTAAAAACACAGCCCAGACAGACACACGGTGGAGAGACGACTGGACCGACTAGTAGGGGACCAGGGTTTGCGTCTCGGGGCCTCCCTAGATGTGCCCACAATCTGGACTGGCCAAGGGTGGGGTTGAACCGCGGCGTAGAGACCCTGGCAGGGGTGTCTGCCCCTCTCTCTCTCCCTCGTGGGAGAAAGATGTCTATAAACTCTTAAGAGAAAATGAAAACAAACTACCGGAGCCTGCCTACTCTTTGCCAAGGCTGTGGGAACTTTTAAACCCAGGGACTTCTCTAATCTGGGCCAAGCCTTCTCAGTCTCAGTGCACTGAGGATCCGAACCTCAGTGGGCCGGGTGACATCCAGTCCAGCACATGAGCGCGTGGCTACCTGGGGGACCCGCCCGAGCCAGATGGCGGCGACCTTGAGAACAACGTCTAGGGTGTGTCCGATGTGACATCTGACCCGTTTCCCAGCAAGAACGACTGTGCCCACGGCCCCGTGCCTCTGCCCTGCACTCTCACTCGCCCTTCCCCAGCTCCGGACTCTCCCCTTTGTACCCCGAGCTTGTGCAGGGACAGGAGGACAGAAGGCGGCCAGCCACTGGCCACCCTCGTAATCCCGGACACAGCAAGGTCCATTTTTAAACGCAAGGAGGCGTCTTGTCGTGGGCATGGCTGCAGCGCGGTTCCTGTTGCTGTCCGTCTCCAGGGAGCTCACAGTCAGCCTTCTCCTCCCCGGGACCCGGACAAATGCTGTTTGCGGATGGCAAAACGAGCCCTCATGTTCCTAAGCAGGCACTTAGGAAAATTTCTTTCTAGAAATGACATTCAGGGGCTGGCAGGTGGCGTGGTGTTTAGAGGCACTGAACTCCCACATGGTTGACAGTGGTTCAAGCCCTGGACCTGGTGGCTTGCTTTCTCACTTTCTCTCTCTCTCGCGCTCTGTCCTTTCCTGGTCAAATGAAAATAAATAAAGTGAAATAATATCATTTAAAATTTTAAAAAAGAAATGACATTCATACACAAAAGCCCATATTCTAGCAATAGGACATTTTAGAATCCTAAGCATAGGGGCCAGCAGTTGGTGTAGTGGCGAAGGCAGAGGACTCCCACATGGTCGAGCAAGGTTCGAGTCCCAGACCCGGTGGCTTCAACTCATGCCGGGCGCGTGTGCATGCGTGCTCAAGATCCCTAGAGGAGAATGGGGGAGAAGGGATTGTGGCATGGCCATCCTCCCCTGGGGGTGATGTCTCACTTTCCCTGTCTCTCTATCTCTCTCCGGTCAGCACACGTATCCTATGGCAAAAATCCTAAAAAGTAGAAAAAAAAAATATGTCCACAAAGAAAAGATTTCGAACCCAGAAGCCACCCAAAGACATGAACTTGTTTGATTGCAGAAAACGTCACTGACT